GTGTCATTATTGTTATGGGTACCTGCAAATAACGTGTCATTATTGTTATGGGTACCTGCAACTAACGTGTCATTAATGTTATGGGTATCTGCAACTAACGTGTCATTAATGTTATGGGTACCTGCAACTAACGTGTCATTAATGTTATGGGTATCTGCAACTTCTTCTTCTTCTTCTTCTTCTGCCTTTCTATCCCCCAATGGAGCATAGGCCCTCAACCAACTCACGCCAAGTCGTTCTATCCTTCGCCATTGCATGGAGCTCTCCCCATGTCCTCCCAATCTTTCTAACCTCGTTCTCCAGCTCTCTTCTCCATGTGTTTTTTTGGCCTTCCTTTATCTAACATTCCAGGTGCCAATTCTGGAGGTTTTCCTAGCTGAGAGGAGGTAAGTCAACGATCTGGACTCCTTGCGGCTTTCTCCACACCGTGTCATACTTCTTCTATCTGAAGAGCCTTCCCTCATCTTGGTTGGCTGGATTTTATTTGCTTCTTTTTTTTACTTATCCATGATTGGTTGGTTTTTGTGGCTATGGTTTTTACAGGATGAGGTAGCCAACCTCAAGCCCAACCCTACCCTTAGTCGCCTCTTACGACATGCCTGGTAGGGTGCAGTGTCACTATTCTTTGCTTCCCGTGAGGGCCCCGGTGACACACGGGCGGTATCTGCAACTAACGTGTCATTATTGTTATGGGTACCTGTAACTAACGTGTCATTATTGTTATGGGTACCTGTAACTAACGTGTCATTATTGTTATGGGTACCTGTAACTAACGTGTCATTATTGTTATGGGTACCTGTAACTAACGTGTCATTATTGTTATGGGTACCTGTAACTAACGTGTCATTATTGTTATGGGTACCTGTAACTAACGTGTCATTATTGTTATGGGTACCTGTAACTAACGTGTCATTATTGTTATGGGTACCTGTAACTACGTGTCATTATTGTTATGGGTACCTGTAACTAACGTGTCATTATTGTTATGGGTACCTGTAACTAACGTGTCATTATTGTTATGGGTACCTGTAACTAACGTGTCATTATTGTTATGGGTACCTGTAACTAACGTGTCATTATTGTTATGGGTACCTGTAACTAACGTGTCATTATTGTTATGGGTACCTGTAACTAACGTGTCATTATTGTTATGGGTACCTGTAACTAACGTGTCATTATTGTTATGGGTACCTGCAAATAACGTGTCATTAAGTAAGAAGAAACTCTACATGGAAGCATGTACAGCAGGAGTCTACCAATCGTCAGTAGAAGTAATTTCTCATTTACAAATGTTTCGGTCCACGAGCTCCTAGACATTTTCAGAGAGTGGGCCCACCTGAGTTCATGAGGCTCAGGGTTGATTTTTTCCTGCTGCACGTATTACCGGATGTTCTCGGACAGGGACAAGACGAAACTGGTGACTTTGCAAAAGGTACTATGAGATACTCTATTGACATAGTCGCTGCGGTAGCATAATTAGAGCAGTCAGCATACCTGGACGACAAAGTGGCAAGCTTACGGCTGGTTTATCGGACACATGTTAGACTTTTTTTGGCAGATGGCAGATGGACACTGACAGACAATTCGGACACGATGGACTTTAAGGGATAAGACGTTATTTTTCACTAGATACCCGGACCAGCTCACCGAGGCCCATACCCCACGATGTTACGTTGTGTCCAGAGCCAGCTCGAGGCCCTCTCAGCAACCTCGCGCAGTTGTTTTGGTGCTCGTTTGCGTTCATTCCCTCACAAACCTAGTTGTTTAATCACATTGTACATTAAAGTGGAAACAAGACCTCTTGCGTCTACCTCGACGGCGAAGATTCTTACTGTGTACGCTTCGTCTCTCTTCAGACAAGCCGCTAAGTCACTGTACTTTTCGAGATTGTACATGTTGCTTTCGTCCATTCGCGACTCATACGACACGGTCAGTTTGATCAGGATGAGCTGACGTTTCTCCGCAGAGTGTAGGACTAAGTCGGGTCCTAGGCCAGTCTTCCGGATCAACTCACGGTATTTTTCGTGACCAGGCAGGTCAACCCCCAGTAGCCAGTCCCTCGCACAGTCAAGCATGGATGGAGCGTATGCGACTTTGTTGAATTTACCTTTATAAATCTGCCCAGCCTTAAGGAAGCGCACGGGGACGGCGGTAGGACTGGCCCTAGCATTGGCCCTCATCCTAGCTTGGTCCACAACGGCTGCTAACTCTCTTAGCACCTTGTTGTAGCGCCAAGTGTACCTGCCCTGACCTATGGCTTTTCTGCACGCGGACAGTACGTGCTCGAGCGTCTGTTTAGCTCTACATAGTGGGAATGTCGGGTCATTAGTCGCACTCCACTTTACCATGTTAACACCGGATGGTAAAACATCGTAGGCAGATCGAACGATAAAGCTCAGTCGCAGCGGGGCCATTCGCCAGATCTCACGTGGCAAGGCGCTCACTAGGCCGATCCACTGGCCTTGCTGCGACTGTCGCGCGGCTTTCTGGACTGAACCTCTTTTTCGGTGTCCCTAATCTGCTGTATCACCATGTCTCGGCGCTCTTTGGCTGTGGCTTTGGACCACCAACTGACTTTCCCGTGCCCTAGACCTCGACCGTCGGTCTGAGTGTAACCCATCACTTCTCTTAATTTTAGTGCTTTCTGGGCAGATTCGATCGCATCTAGGACATTCCATTTGACGCCAGTCTTTAGACAGTGACAGTGGGGTCTGAAGACTCTCGCACATCATGGCGAGTCTTACTTTTCCGACTTAAAACTCTTCGGTTATTGATTTGAACGGGAGTCCCAGCTTTGTCTGTTTACAATACCAGCAGTCAGACAAGGTGGTGCTCCCAATCCCTTCCTCATGGTTGTGCAGATTTTACGCTCCATTGCTTCCACTGCCGTCATCGTCACTTTGTAGACGAGCAGCGGCCAGATGAGCTTTGGGATCAACATAAATTGGAGAGACCAGACCTTAAAGTTTCCGATCAGCCCACTACGCTCGATTTGCGAGCAGGCCTGTAGCCAGTGACTCGCGTATTTGCCGGATCTCCGCTCTATCAGATAACTTCGAATCGTAAACGCGACCAAGGCTCTTCACCGGTTCATCTAGAACCGTGGGGATCCGATTCCTTGCTACCGTAAAACTGATCGCCGCCCCCTAACTTTACTTGTAATGGACACTTGCAACCACTGTCTTAATGTTATGGGTACCTGCAACTAATGTGTCATCAATGTAATGGAAACCTGCAACCAACGTGTCATTAATGTAATGGAAACCTGCAACCAACGTGTCAATAATGTTATGGGTACCTGCAACCAACATGTCATTAATGTAATGGATACCTGCAACTAACGTGTCATTTATATTAAAATTTGATATTTCGAAACTATGTTACCATATTGTGTGCCTGCTTCTGCTTCTTACATGTGGCCAAACTACAAACTGTCAAATGTCGAATGATGACACCAGGCTTGGTACAAAGACTGACCCACAATCGGTTTCATTTTGCAGCTACGGCTTTCTACAAGGTCAAGTAATCAGTCCGATGTCAGTTCCTCTTAGCAGCCTCACTAAACGCTGTATCCATCTATGATACTTGTCCCAGATAAATAGATGTAAGCCTCCTCCGCCCCCCCCCCCTCTCTCTCTCTCTCTCTCTCTCTCTCTCTCTCTCTCTCTCTCTCTCTCTATCTATCTATCTATCTATCTATCTATATCTCCCTGTTCCCCTCACCTGCTTTCATAGTTCTATCCAATTACATACATTACAGATTCCCTTCACGAAATAGATGTCAGTTTCTCTTCTCTTCTCTCTCTCTCTCTCTTTCTCTCTCTCTCTCTCTCTCTCTCTCTCTCTCTCTCTCTACCTCTCTCACTCTCTTTCTTTATTCGTTAATTCATTCTCTCTCTCTCTCTCCCTCTCTCTCTCTTTCTCTCTCTCTCTCTCTCCTTCTCATGTTTTACCGTTCTCTCAAATTCCTTCCTTATAGATCGCTCTTATAAAACAGATTATCCCCATAAAATTGATGTTCTGTCTATGGCTTTTATCAATGCCTGCCATGTTTTCCCTAGGGCCAGACAACTGGTCATGTTGTCAGCCGTGGCTCACACTAATGCAGCTTTTCCCTGTTGCCATCCAGCCTGAGGTCCCTATCAGATCTGTGCTTAAGATGAACTATCACCGGAAGAAACGGTGGCCAGTTGTCAGCAAGCCAGCCTGCCAACATTAAGATCTTGGGTTCCCGATCTCATCGAATAGTATTTTAAAAACCTGACTTGAGCTTCCAGGTCGACTAAGATTTCCTTTCCTTTTTAGTTTTTAAGTTAGTTGTGTATCTTTTAAAGTACTTGCGAACCAACACCAGCACGACCTAACATTAGCACGAACCAACACCAGCACCAACCAACACCAGCACCAACTAACATCAGCACCAACTAACATCAGCACCAACTAACATCAGCACCAACTAACATCAGCACCAACTAACATCAGCACCAACTAACATCAGCACCAACTAACATCAGCACCAACTAACATCAGCACCAACTAACATCAGCACCAACTAACATCAGCACCAACTAACATCAGCACCAACTAAACATCAGCACCAACTAACATCAGCACCAACTAACATCAGCACCAACTAACATCAGCACCAACTAACATCAGCACCAACTAACATCAGCACCAACTAACATCAGCACCAACTAACATCAGCACCAACTAACATCAGCACCAACTAACATCAGCACCAACTAACATCAGCACCAACTAACATCAGCACCAACTAACATCAGCACCAACTAACATCAGCACCAACTAACATCAGCACCAACTAACATCAGCACCAACTAACATCAGCACCAACTAACACCAGCACCAACTAACACCAGCACCAGCCAACAACACCAGCACCAGCCAACAACACCAGCACCAGCCAACAACACCAGCACCAGCCAACAACACCAGCACCAGCCAACAACACCAGCATCAACCAACACCAGCACCAGCACCAACCAACACCAGCATCAACCAACAACACCAGCATCAACCAACACCAGCATCAACCAACACCAGCATCAACCAACACCAGCACCGACCAACACCAGCACCGAATAACAACAGCACCAACCAACATCAGCACCAACCAACACCAGCATCAACCAACACCAGCATCAACCAACACCAGCACCGACCAACACCAGCACCGAATAACAACAGCACCAACCAACATCAGCACCAACCAACATCAGCACCAACCAACACCAGCACTAACCAACACCAACACTAACCAACACCAACACCAACACCAACCAACACCAGCACCAACCAACACCAGCACCAACCAACACCAGCACCAACCAACACCAGCACCAACCAACACCAGCACCAACCAACACCAGCACCAGCCAACACCAGCACCAACCAACACCAGCACCAACCAACACCAGCACCAACCAACACCAGCACCAACCAACACCAGCACCAGCCAACACCAGCACCAACCAACACCAGCACCAGCCAACACCAGCACCAACCAACACCAGCACCAACCAAAACCAGCACCAAACAACACCAGCACCAACCAACACCAGCACCAACCAACACCAGCACCAACCAACACCAGCACCAAACAACACCAGCACCAACCAACACCAGCATTGTTTGGCTGCTTGAGGTTTTTGTAGATAATTTTACTTTTGTTAGCAATTCGGAACTGCCATGGTGTAGAGGCTAGACGCCCGCATTTACCAATTGGTCTTTACAAAATATGAGGTTAACATTATGACCGATGATTTACTTGGTATGGAAATGAGTCCTTTATTCCTCACTGAAACTGCCCACAGGGGTCACAGGTGCTGTTGTATTTATCTGTGTAACAGAGTCACTAGTGTACACACATCTTGTAGCTGGTGTGCACATCAGCAGTGTAAACATTTAGGTCGTTAGGGCACATACGCGGAGTTGCTAGTGTTCACATCTACAGTCGCTAGCGTACACATCTACAGTCGCTAGCGTACACATCTACAGTCGCTAGTGTACACATCTACAGTCGCTAGTGTACACATCTACAGTCGATAGTGTACACATCTACAGTCGCTAGTGTAAATATCTACAGACGCTAGTGTAAACATCTACAGTCGCTATTGTACACATCTACAGTTCTAGTGTACACATCTACAGTCGCTAGTGTACACATCTGCAGTCGCTAGTGTACACATCTACAGTCGCTAGAGTACACATCTACAGTCGCTAGAGTACACATCTACAGTCGCTAGAGTACACATCTACAGTCGCTAGTGTACACATCTACAGTGTAAACATCTGGGTCGTTAGTGCACATACGTGGAGTTGCTAGTGTTCACATCTACAGTCGCTAGTGTAAATATCTACAGTCGCTAGTGTAAATATCTACAGTCGCTAGTGTAAATATCTACAGTCGCTAGTGTAAATATCTACAGTCGCTAGTGTAAATATCTACAGTCGCTAGTGTAAATATCTACGGTCGCTAGTGTACAAATCTACAGTCGCTAGTGTACATATCTACAGACGCTAGTGTACACATCTACAGACGCTAGTGTACATATCTACAGTCGCTAGTGTACATATCTACAGTCGCTAGTGTACATATTTACCGTCGCTAGTGTACACATTTCCAGTCGCTAGTGTACACATCTGCAGTCACTAGTGTACACATCTACAGTCGCTAGTGTACACATCTACAGTCGCTAGTGTACACATCTACCGTCGCTAGTGTACATATCTACCGTCGCTAGTGTACACATCTACAGTCGCTAGTGTACACATCTACAGTCGCTAGTGTACACATCTACAGTCGCTAGTGTACACATCTACAGTCGCTAGTGTACACATCTACAGTCGCTAGTGTACACATCTACAGTCGCTAGTGTACACATCTACAGTCGCTAGTGTACATATCTACCGTCGCTAGTGTACACATTTCCAGTCGCCATTGTAAACATCTAGGTCGTCAGTGTACATACTTAGAGTCGCTAGTGTGCCTATGGGCAGTCGCTAACGGACACACAAGGGGTCATTAGTGTACACACACAGGATAACTAGTGTACACACATCTAGTAGCTAGTGTACATATGTACAATCCCTAGTGTGCACATCTGCAGTCGCTAACATGAACATGTGGAGTCGCTGGTGTATACATGTGGAGTAGCGTACACGCTTGGAGTCTCTAGAGTACACACATAGAGTTGTTAGTGTACACTAAAGTCGCTAATGTACACATCCAGTCTCTACAATAGACACATGTAGTAGCTAGTGTACACAGGTGAAGCTGCTAGTAGATACATGTTTAGTTGACAGTCCCTGCATGAAGACTCTAATTCCCACATGGAGTCGCTAGTACACACGCAGCGTCACTAGCATACACGTGAAGTTGCTAAAGTACACATATAGTCGCTAATGTCTATATGAAGTCGCTAGTGTACATATATATCCGCTAATATACAAATATGGATTCGCTAGTACACCCACTGTGTAGCTTGAACACTCACTAGGCCACCAGGAAACACATAATGTAGCCAGTTTACACAGATAGTTGCTAGTGTCCACCGTACACTCACTGGGTCGCCAGTACACTCACTGAGTCGCTAGTACACTCACAGAGACACTAGCACTCTCACTGAGTCGAGAGTACACTCAGTGAGTCGCCGGTACATTCCATGAGTCACTAGTACACACACTCAGTCGTCAGTAAACTCACTGAGTCGCTAGTACGCACAATGAGTCGCTAGTACACACATATTGTTGCTAGTGTACATAGAGAGACTAGCAGATATTAAGAGTCACTAGTGTACTCGTGTAAAGTCACTAGTACACATATGGAGCTGCTAGTCTACACAATGGAAGTCGTTACCATACACACGTGAAGTCTCTTCTACATAAACGTGAAGTCGCTACTACATACATGTGAGGTCGTTAATTTATACAAGTGAATTCGTTACTATACACGCGTGATTTCGCTTCTATACACCCGTGAAGTTGCTACAATACCTCCGTGACGTGGCTACTATACACCCATGACGTTGCAACTATACACCCATTAAGTCGCTACTATACACCCGTGATGTAGCAATTATACACCCATTAAGTCGCTACTATACACCCGTGATGTAGCAACTATACACCCATTAAGTCGCTACTATACACCCGTGATGTAGCAACTATACACCCATTAAGTCGCTACTATACACCCGTGATGTAGCAACTATACACCCATGAAGTCGCTACTATACACCCGTGATGTAGCAACTATACACCCATTAAGTCGCTACTATACACCCGTGATGTAGCAACTATACACCCATGAAGTCGCTACTATACACCCGTGATGTAGCAATTATACACCCATGAAGTCGCTACTATACACCCGTGATGTAGCAACTATACACCCATGAAGTCGCTACTATACACCCGTGATGTAGCAACTATACACCCATCAAGTCGCTACTATACACCCGTGATGTAGCAACTATACACCCATCAAGTCGCTACTATACACCCATCAAGTCGCTACTATACACCCGTGATGTAGCAACTATACACCCATCAAGTCGCTACTATACACCCATCAAGTCGCTACTATACACCCATCAAGTCGCTACTATACACCCGTGATGTAGCAACTATACACCCATCAAGTCGCTACTATACACCCGTGATGTAGCAACTATACACCCATGAAGTCGCTACTATACACCCGTGATGTAGCAATTATACACCCATCAAGTCGCTACTATACACCCGTGATGTAGCAACTATACACCCATGAAGTCGCTACTATACACCCGTGATGTAGCAACTATACACCCATGAAGTCGCTACTATACACCCGTGATGTAGCAACTATACACCCATGAAGTCGCTATTATAACATCGTAAATTAGCTACTATACCCCCTCGAGGTTGCAACTATACACCCGTTAAGTCGCTACTATACAAAGGTGAAGTAGCTACTGTACACTTGTGAAGTAGAAACTATTACACCCGGAAAGTAGCTACTATACACCCGGAAAGTAGCTACCATTTACCCGTGAAGTAGCTACTATACACACGTGAAGTCGCAACTATAGTACATAAAGTGGCTACTATACACATGAATTCTCAAGTCTACACACGTGAAGTCGCGACTATACACCGTTGGTGTCTGTGCACTGACAATTTTAATTAGCAAAACAATAACCGAAAAGACGACATGAAATAAATCTATCACTAGCATGCTTGTACCAAGTCAGTGACAGTGTACGGTAATGTCCTGCTAAAATCATCCTATCGACTAAATGTTGTATTCCGATTTTTCACAGATAAACACGTGCATTTTTTTTCAACACACACACACACACACACACACACGCACAAACCACATAATCCTAGAGGGATTTCGTTGGAATTTGTAAATGGGGTACGGGAGTCTGAATATGGATTGAGAAAATGTAAAATGAATGAGGGAATCTGAGATAACATAAAATGAAAATGGAGCGAACGAATCTGAAAAAGGGTTGAAGTTTTATGGAAATGGAGTGACAGATTCTGAAAATGAGTCCAGGAAATCCCAAAAGATGACTGTTATAAAAGTAGGTTGAACGAATGTAAAAATTAGGTGAGACAATATGAAAATGAGATCAAATACACTGAAAATGAGATCAAATACAATGAAAATGATGTGAGAGGCTGATGGGCTTGGTGTCAGAAGGGTCCAGAATAGTATGTTTATGGAACATGAGGCCAAAACGCTCTCTCTCTCTCTGCCTCTCTCTCTCTCTCTCTCTCTCTCTTTCTCTATGTGTGTGAGTGAGAGAGAGAGAGAGAAAGAGAGAGAGAGAGAGAGAGAGAGAGAGAGAGAGAGAGAGAGAGAGAGAGAGTGTGTATTTATCAAGTTAATTGTCGGTTGATCATATATAATAACCACAACAGTTTCCTCGAAGTGATCTTTATCGCAGGTCATTCTGGCATCTTATTACTGATGCAAACTCGGGCCTTCGGGTTTTATTATGTTTATTATTTTTTTTTTTTAAATTGTATGTCCTGTCTCCGTGTCTTCTATTCCTCTCTTTTACTTTTTCTACATTTCAGCGTTCTCTTTTCCTAATATCTACAACTTAACTTTTTTAATCTCGCTCAAGCTTCCTATTTCTAGCTTCATTTTAGTATTTACCCTCCTCCTTTTATTTATTTGTTTTTTCATCTTCTTCCATTGCTGCTGCTTCTTCTTCTTGTTTTTCTTCTTTTTCTTCTTCTTCTTCTTCTTCTTCTTCT